GAGGGGGGGGGGGGCCCGTGGCGGGGGGGGAGCCGGTGGGGCATCAGCCACGTCCCCTGCGGCCCGGGGAATTAATGCACCTTTGCAGCAGGGCATATAAACCTGCACCAGACAAAGCTCCTTCCCTGGGGTGGTTTATGCCCCGGCAACCCCCATACAGAAGGATGTGTGTGGGGCTGCTCTCAGATCTGTGCAGATCTGCCTAAGAAAATGGTCTGCTGTCAGTGCTGGCAAGTTTGCTCTCATTAAGATAACTGATTTAAAGAATATCACCTCTTATAATAGATGAAAGAAGGAAAAGCCAGCCTCCCAGCAGCTAAGGCCAGACCTTTCTAGCCTTTAAACACAACCTACGTCTTTTAGCGCTCTGGAAAAGAATTGACACTGTAGCTGGGATGCGCTTATACAAAACAACTGGAGTTGTACTGTAGCAGACTGGAACTGTCTGACAAAGAACTCAAAGGGCAAGAATAAAACCATGGAAATAGATGGCAGCTCCAACCTGGCCTTATTTTCTTTCTTTCTGCACACCAGCCTCAGAAGAAGTTATCATATGCCAAACATTACTGAATAACACAGCTCGGCAAGCTTGCAGGAACCAGACAGACTCAAAATAATGTTTTTCATACAAAACACAATGAGGTCATATTTGTCTTTCATCTGGGATAATAAAATTATGCCTTGGCTACATTGGGTGGTTTCATGCTGAAGACATCATTGCTGATCTACATTTTTAAAGTAGAAGCATTCATGTTTCATCATGTAGTTTGTAACTCTGTTTGTATGCTTTGCAAAACAATCAGATAAGACCCAAAATGCCTTTCCTAGCACCTCAGCATACTAAAGATAGAGAGATCTTGCACATAGCTACATGCACAATCAACTTCTAATAATGCTGTTCAGCAGAACAGAAGAAAATATACAGACCTTTCACATACAAGTGCATGCAAAAAAAAATCTTTGCTTCCAATAAAATGAGTTTAGTGGAGAGATTCTGGGTTGTCTTCCGTTTTTTTCCCCTTCCCCGCCCCCCCCCTTAAATAAAATGTATCTTTTAATTCAAAAGAACAGGCTGGTTTGCACTCTTCCCGAAGACTTTTTCAGCTTTAAAGTTAAATCACATGTTTTAAAAGATGCTGGGATAGATTCTGCAAATGTGCATTCAAGCGGCTGTTACACAAATAAATTGGGCTTCTTCACATAAGTATCAACTACATGAACTGGGGGTTGCTTCTCTAAGAGACTTTCAAAGCAAGCTTTGTTGTGTTGCTAAGATCCAGACAAGGAATGCCAGCCCGGACAAGGTTTAAAATGGATTTAAAGCATTTTATCATCAGACACAAGTCCTCAAAGTGACTAAAGGGGGCAGGAAGCACTGGTATTTGAAACTCTTGAATTTTTATTTCCCAGCAGGAGATGAGCACTCATATTGTTCCTCAGTGTTTGGGTGGACAATGTTTTTATTTCATTTGAACTGAAAAAAATATTAATAAAAACAATGCTGCACAATGGAACACAGTATTGTTTGGGTAAATAACACTTAGAAGAAAGCCAGTTCATTATTATCACTTGAGATTGGAGGCCCCTACCGAGACCAGTGACCCGCTGCGCTGGGATCTGTGTAAATACATGATGAGACACAGTCCTTGGGCCAAAGAGCTTGCAATCCAAACACGCAAAGCAAACATTAGAGGTATTACAATCATCCTCATACTCAGTGCAGGCCTGTTACATTCTCTAAGTGCAAGGCCTCTCTGCAGTTAATGGAAACATCAGTTTTGCCCCCCTTTTAATTTTGTTCTCCCCATTTTCCAAGCCCTGTGCTCAGCACTTGAGCTGAATCCTGCAGGGCAGTCAGAGATGCTCTGCCCTGACCCAGAGCCCTGACCGCGCTATCTGGGAGGAAAAATACACACGTGACTCAGCAGCAAGGATCCCCATTACTCAGGCCAGACGGATCAGCGTCTGCTTACCCCTCTCCAAAGTAGCTTCTCCTGTGCCATGGAGATGAGAGACACTGGAGCGACACCCATACTGTAGGTGGGAGGAGAACCAGACCTCCACCTTTTGCAAAGGCCATCATGATGATGTCTCTAGCTGCCTGCAGACTGGTAAGCTGGTCTCCTCCCTGCTCTCAAACAAGGAAGCAGACAGAAGAGACCTGCACATCTGCAAGCAATTTGGAAAGAAGCTCCTCTGCAGCACTTTCACCTATCTCCCTTCTTCTGCTTTTGCAGCGCAGGGCACTTCACCGTCCCTTGGCAGCATGATTGTGCACAGCGTGGGCACAAAGTATGAGGTGAGAAATATCTTGGAGGGGACAAACACCAGTATCACCAGTACCTGCCAGTGGTTTTCAGCACTTGTTGCGCTCAAGCTTATCTATAGAGCAGCTGAGACTTGCAGGTGTGTGGCTGCTTATGGCTCCTGGTAAGGAACTGCATCAAGCTCATCACAAACGAATCATCTTTCTTTCACTGCAGTTCACCGGTATGGGTGATCTGCCTAAATTTAAATGTCTCCCTGCAGCTTGTCTGTTTTTTAACTCATGGGTTATTTTTTCAAAGCCGATTAAAGCGTACATGGCATTATTATGTGTTTGGATTATTATGCTGCCTAGAGAACTGAAGGGCCAACATGCGGCTTACGCTCTTTGTGTTGTTGTTGTTGTCATCTAGACTATTATATTATTTTCAACACATCATTTACTCTACTGTTGTAATAAATGATTTTCAAGATTAAACCTGGTAGTTACAACAAAGATAATATGAAATACTAAAAGTCATTAACCTCTAATAACAAAAATAATAAACTTTTTAC